GCAAAAGCTTCAGGTCCTCCTGTTTCAGCAAACAGGCTTGTGTTATCTGCATAATGAAGACTGTTGATGAGTCTACTTCCAATCCTGATGTCACACTTTTCCTCATACAGCCCAGCCTCCCAGATAATCTGTTCCGCATACAGATTAAAAAAGATGGAGATAGGACACATCCTTGGCGCACACCCTTCCCGATTTTGAACCATTCAGGGTTTCTTTGCTCTGTCCTGACAACTGCCTCCTGGTCCAAGTGTAAGTTTAGCATAAGCACAATCAAGTGTTCTGGGATTCCCATTCTTCTTAGAGTCAACCAGTTTGTTGTGATCTGCACAAATGCTTTTGCATAGTCAATAAAACACAGATATTTCTCTGGTACTCCCTGCTTTCAGCCAAGATCCATCTGACATTAGCTATAATATCCCTAGTACCACGGCCTTTACTAAACCCAGCCTGCACAGTTCTCTGTTGATGCTCCAGCCATTTTGGGGTAATCTTTAGCAGAATCTTGCTTGCATGTGATATCAACAATACTGTTCGATAATTTCCACACACTGTCAGATCACCTTTCTTTGGAATGGGAGCAAATATAGATCTCTTCCAGTCAGCTGGCCAGGTGGTTGTCCTCCAGATTTCTTGGCACAACTTGGTGAGCACATCCAGGGCAGCATATGTTTGTTGAAATATGTCAATTGGTATGCCGTCAACTCCTGGGGCCTTGTAGGAATGTAATTAATGTTTGAAGATTCACACAGCTGTGAACTCTAAATGTGACCTTATTTAGAAACACAAGCACACTTGGTTTTGTCTTTTAAATTATACCTTTGGACACCTGATAAAGGACGATTGTGAGTCTGAATGTACTTGAGGCAGTGGATTTTCTCCAGGTAACTTTGCAGAGCACTCTGGTAGCCTAGGGGTAAGGAACTGTGCTGCATACTCAAAGGTTGTTGTTGTTTAATGCCGTCGAGTCGTAGATGACTCATAGCAACCCTATGAATGAACGGCCTGAGCACTGTTCCTACATAGAGTTTCTGGAGGCAAGCCATTTTGGAAGTGGATGCCGCTCCTGCTTCCAGGCTTGATTTAGTCAGGAAGCTCCAGCCAACACTGTCCACCATGGGTACCCATTACCACGATTGGCACATCACTGTCACAGTCTTCAGCATCAGAGCAACCACGAGTTACCTCTGTACAGCAACACACAGACCAGTGCTATACCACCTAGAAGAATGTTTGACAGGAAGACAAGGTTCTAATCCACCAGCTGGTCTGTGGGAGAAAGACAATCTCCTCTTGTGTGATTTGTAACCTCTGAAAACCTGCTAGAGGGTTAGTTATGAGTTGGTTCTAACTTGAAAACACATTAACAATGCAGGTCTTTCTGCAATTCTGGGGTACCCATCTTGTCTGAACTAAGCCTTTTTCTCTCCTTGTGACTCTGGCTCTAAAGGTCAGGATCTGGCTTTTTCTTAACAGATTCATCCTGGAAAGGGTCAGTCTGGGCGGCTCCTTGGAGGCAAGAATTCTGAGGCTCTGTCTGACATACTTTGGACATGTTGTAAGGAGGGACCAGTCCTTGGAGAGGGACATCATGCTTGGCAGGGTGGAGGGACAGCGCAGGAGGGGAAGGCCCTCTATGAGGTGGATTGATTCAGTGATTGGGGTAATCAGGATAGGTGTATCAGAGACAATGCGATTGTCACCGGACAGAGCAGAGTTTAGGGCTGTTGTACATAGGGTCACTATGAGTCACAAGTGACTCGACGGCACATAACAATACCCTTTTCTCAGTAATCATCTAGTCATCCTTAAGTATGTCTCATACAAGTTAAGTGTGCAAAGCACCATGTCATCCTTAAGAGTTCTGGTCCTCCCACTGGTCCTTAGGCAGTCTTCTAGGTTAATAACTTGCTGAAATTACTACTTTTAGAGTTGCCTTGGTATGAAAACCAAAACAAATAATCTGAAGTACTAGAGCTTCTAATCAATGCCACCCTTAGGAAAACTATCTCCTCTGCATTCCTAGACCCTTTCCCCCACATTTTACTTTTCAACCTAAATATTCTAAATGCTCAGGTAGATCTGGATATGGGAATAAAAATTAAAGTGCCCAGCATACCAAAAAATCTCTAGATCAGTAGGAAAGTTTGAATTTTTATTCATGAGCTTTTTTCACCTTCTGTTTTTTTTTTACTTGTTTCTTATTTTACATCATTTTTAATTTAAGAAAATAGGATTAATATATGACATCGACATCACTTTCATTGCTGGGTCTTGTTTGGATTCTAAAGTCTTTACGAATAGACTCCTTTAAAAAAATTAAGAAAGGCATAAAATATGTCAGAGAAATGGAATTCCTATCATTTCAATCACAATTTTTGCCTTTTAAATGTAGCTCCTCTAGCAACGGTTCAGTGAAAGATGGCTTCCTTCTTGTCATTTATTAGCCATGACAGGCAGCAACACTCCTTTCAGATACCGTCTCACTTCGCCACAATTATCTTGTGATGCCTGCAAGGCAAAAGACTGCTCAAAACTCCTTCCTTCTGGAATGCTTTCCCCAAAGGCAACGGTTCAAAGCAAACCTCTATTAACTGGAACACTGACATCTGCAGAATTCTCTGGACAGAAAGATTCCACAGCTCCTGTAGTGACACCAGCAACTCAGACATAATTACTTACACTCCAGTCACCAGGAAATCAAGTTCAGCAACTGTCTCGAGGTGGAAGCCTCATATGCCATAGTGAGAACACGGCCACCACATAAACAAACTGCCACAGTCTGACACGAGATGCTTCATCTCTGCAAAGCTCTGCCCTGTTAACCTGCCCCAACAGGAAGGCTTTTACAGTAAAACTCTATGTAACCAACTGAGATATTGCTATCAAAATTCTATAAACTAGATACACTACAGTCTTTACTAGCTCCTAGACAAACAGACATGATAAAAAAAAATTACATTTCCCTTTAAGAAGGTTTATAACACAGAATTTGCCGCACTATGAAAATCCAATGTTTTCTATCTTTGAGCATCTTTCCTTACAGGTGGCTCAAATGGTTACGTGCTTGACCACTAGTCTCACCCACTCAGAGGTGCCTCAGAAGATGGGGACAGTGACCTGTTTCTTAGACTTAAAAGCTTTGCAAACCCCATGGAGCAGTTCTACTCACATGTGGGGCTGTCACGGGTCTGAGGAGATTTGGTGACAACCAGCATTGACTTCTTCCCTTTCTCTATATATCACAAAAGCCGAGAGAACTGAACTCAACAGGACTGCCTTGATTTTTTTACCTTTGACGAGGTACAGTCTCACCTCTTCTATCTCAAGTTTTAGTTGAGAATATTTGCATTTTCTTTAACTACCAGGTTTCCACAGGCTCAGAGATTCATAGGTTTCACAGTATTGTTTTCGGTACTTTTTGGAACAGAGGGTCAAGCGTTTGGAACGGTTCAGAAAGAAATGAATTGAAAAGAGTTGGCTAAAGATGTAGTAACAGAGTAATGTGACAGGGTGGCAAGAGGAGACAGAATTGAGGACCAAAGACTTCATGAAGCCTTTTAAAGCTGGTCCTTGTAGACCCATCATCAACTCCTCCTGGGGAAAGCCCCCAGGATTAGGATCTCCAATTGTTGTTTGAGTGTTCAAACATATGTAGTACACTACACAGACAACACAGATGACAGAAATGGAGAGTTAAGCATGTAATTATAGTAACATAAAAATGAGCACACGTCAGTGTGGTAAGATTTTAATAAGGTTTTAATAATATTGGTAAAGAGCCAAATTACAAACTAGAATGGAGTATAAAAACCTCAAGAGACAAACTGAAAATTCACAAAAATACAAGAACCCTTTAAAAGGTAATAATCTTTAGGATGAAGAAATCATTTTCTCAACAAAGGTGCTGAGCATGTTTAATAAAATTAAATGAGATTAAAGACGAGGAGCACAGCACGCCCCCACTCTCAGTGATTAGGAAGGTGCTGTTTGTGTAGAGGAAGGCACAGTGCCAGCGGCACAAATGAGCTCCACTCACCAATAGATCTGGAGGAAACTGCCTCCAGGTGGGCTGAATGCCTCAAATTTCACTTACAGGATAGAAATGAGTTTCTTCTCTGCTTGTACAGCAGCCATGAAAGTGAACAGTGCCAGCAGAGAAGGAAGGACAGTGAGCTCCCACACAGAGACAAACGGGGGGGACACTCTACCGCTTCTCTCCACTCAATCCCAACCCCAAGAGGACATGTCCTGGGAGTGCACGGCTCTCCTACGGGAGGTACTTGCTGTTGAAATCAACAGTGAGCTCCACGTGACCAAGAGATCAAAAATAACGGGCAAAAATAGGAGCCCCCCCACTCCCAAAGGGACATTATGCCACTACCCTGCATGGATCAGGGCAACAGAGGCACAGAAAGCAAATGTGATGTGACACCACTTGTCACCTTTCAGGACAGGAGTGTCATCCAGCTAAGTTCTTTGTTTGGGGTGGGGGTTTCCCATAACCCCCTGCAACAAATAATTTAATGCTACTGTCATATAGGCCCAGTCCCCCACCCCCCGCCCCTCAATGGTACTACACGTTACGCTTCATTTGGACCAGATGTTCAAATACAGGTTCTCATCCTTACTAAGAACACAACAATCATTTATTTGTCCTTCGAGCACGTGCAGGAGTGAAGAGTGGCTGCTGGAATGCAGTGGACGGCAGGGGACTGACAGCCCTCTATAGGGCTTCCAACATAGACGGGGGCTGGGGAAGGAGGCGCCCTCACCCAGAACTATGACAGGCCTGCAAAAGGTCCCATAAATCAATAGTTTAAACAGATGCAGATTCCATGTGACAAGAGAGACAGGGAGGAAGATTTGAGGCTTTATAGTCTTTAGATGTCTACTTTTGCTGTACCGGCTATTAAAAAGTTATGTATAACTTCAAGATGAAAGGCATTAGCAGCTACTTAGAAGAGGATAATCCCAATCTTCTGGAGATTTAATGATGTAACTCACTGAAGCTTCTGACTCGGTCTTGCTGTTAATTGAATCAAAGTCAATGACAATCTTGCTGCACTTTGGCGTGAATTTCCTAAACATGAAAAAAGCAAAATAGAGAAAGATATTATCTGGTGAGTAGTTAAAACAATTTGTTTACTTTGGCTTAACCTACATTTTCTGTGAGAAGAAAACATTTCCCGGGATTCACTTGATATTTTCTCTCTACAGGAGCCAATTATAGTGCACCATGCCGAGAGAAACATGGGCCAGAAAAGCTAAGACAAAAAAAGATGCATGGGGCTGCTTGGTTTGTGTGTTCTTTGGCTATCTGAGTTCATGAATTATAGGGGAGTCAGAGGATTTCTAACAAGTTAGCTGCACAACATGACATCCGATTACTAGTTTTCTCATCAGATTTATCTTATTTTCTAGGAAATTTTTGCAGCCAACCTGGAGTGGTTGGCATGAAAGCAAAAAAACTCAATAAATTTTCTTTTGCCACAAGCACACAGCAAAAGTGAAAAACTACTAGCTTTATAGTGAGGAATAATTTTTTAAAAAATTGCATTCTAAAGTTGCAAATGCAAACACATCATGCTGTATATTTCTACTCATTTACAACAGGTGAAAAGATCTGGTGACTAAAACACATTCTTTTAAAAATCAGTCAACAGAGGATTATGTAAATAATTTGTACTTAAATTCTCAGAAAACACAATGGTTTGACAGATATGAACTCAACCTCTAATGATGAATACAGTGAGGGGAAGGGGTGATCTCTACAGTAATAATCCATTGCAGACCACAAATCCGGGAGAGGAAGTGCTTTGTTAAGCATTATAGTCAGAAAAGAATTTTCCACTATGCATCAAATGTGGTTAAACTCATTTTCAAGTAAAACATACCTTGCAATCTTTGTCTGGCAAAGATAATCATGAAAATCTAGATGAGTTCAATCCTCAATTTAAAACGATGCTGTAAAAAGAATTCCTGATGTTTCAACCTGGCAGTTTACTTTCATCCTATGTGTCCTTCACTGGAGTTGTTACATGTGTAAAATTTATAAAGGTCTAATGTTAATATGAGCCCTAGTGGCTTAGTGGTAAGAACTGCACTACCACTGCAACGGTATGTGGTTCGGACCCACCAGCTATTCTGTGGGAGAAAGATGGGAAATCAACTCCTGTGTGATTTATTGCCTCTGAAAATGCACTGGAAGGTCAGCTATGGGTTAGTTCTGACTTTAGAGTATACCACAACAATATTAATATAAGGTGAGCTCTGGTCCCTAATGGTAAAGAATTGCATTACTATACCAAAGGCACCTGGTTTGAATCCACCAGCTGCTCTTAGGAAGAAAAACTGGTATAATTTCCTCCCATGTGATTTACAGGCTCTGAAAACCAACCGGAGGGCCAGCTATGAGTCAGTTCTAACTCAATGGTACACAACAAGAACAGTATTAATATTATAAAACTTGTGAATATTTCAATTCCTCTCTCCTAGAAAATCAGTCTAAACCCTGGAAAGTTACTGATACTATGGTACAACCGTAAAACAGGTTGTCTTCAGCTACTTCTGTCACTGCTCTTAAAAATCTCTCCTTAAAATAGTATTTTGCTTCACGTTCCATCAAATTTAAAGAAGATGCTCTCAGCGTCTGGAAGCCAGACATCATAGTGGAAATCAAGTACCATTCAAGCTCAAATGTCTCTCTAGAACCTTTCCTGACACCCTTTCCCATCCGTTCTTTCTGCTTACCTGAAAGTCACCCCAGCCATATCAAACATGAGCCTCGCAGCTGTTGCCTCATCGCTATCATGGTATTTATCAGACATGAAAATAACTTCCTTGATACCTTAAAAGGTAACAGTGGAAAGCCCATTAGTACATGCAGATAGAGATAGTTCAAACAGACAAGATGAAGCAGATGGAGCTCTTGTAACGTCTGTGATTAATTACCTTTTCATAGTGTGCTTCCAGACAATGTCCAGTTCCTGAAATGTGTCTCTGCTGTGTTCTAATGCAGCAGAGGCCAGATTATATTTAATCTGCCCTCAAGTCTTTATGGCTTTCCCCCCCTTTTTTAACAAATGCAAAGTGAAAACATGTCAAGTAATCAAGCCTTGATCTGATTAACAAATTTTCCTTACTGCAGGCAACCACATATTCTCTATTCCAGGCAACTAGTCTGAATTTGAGAGGCTAATGGGAGAAGTGCAGAGTGCTGGCAAATTTTGAAATAAGTATCACTGGCCTCCCCAGAATGGCTCTGCTGATCAGCCCCATGGAGAGCAAAGCCATGGTCCTTTCCTCATCCCACCAGGTGGGAGGAGGTGCTAGCTCGAGTGTCAGAAATCTGCAGGGCACCTGAGCCACCACCCTGCACTGGAAGCTGCCCCTCCACTTAGCCTCTCAAGGAGGTGGCTGCCCAGAGAACCTACCGCTCTGCCCACGTGGCTGCTGCTGTCACCACAGTGGAGACAGCTGTGGAAAACCCTTGAAGGACCGCGCAGCAGCCACAGCCATTGAGGAACCCACACGCAAAGCGAGGCCTCTGATTTGGATTCCCCCAGAACTCTTCTGCTCACGAATCCACAGGGCTGATGATAAACGGCCCCTTTAAACCACACATCTGGCTAAACATGATAAGTGTTTAAATCTCCAGCAGAGAGTTTTATGGAGACAAAGTGTAGCTGAAACTAAGATGTGACAGTGTGAAGAAGGTGAAATATTCAGAACTCAATGGCGCAGATTTATGGCAACCATAATATAAGAAAAACTCCAAGCAGTATCATTTAAGTCTTAAGGCATGTAAATGCAAAGATATGTTTAGATCTTCAAATATCTACCATGTATTAGATACAAATTAAAATTTCATATACAGACTCCCAGCTGACCTTGTTTCTGACAGAAGTTCATTTCTCTCCCTCCCCCCCCTAATCTATGCACAATATGTCAGAGAATAGTAAATTGACAGTAATTATATGCAATGCCTGTGTTGTTTTTTGGCAGCTTGCAGTTTAAGAAGTTGCAAACTAAATTAAAAACATGCTAAGAACCACAGAGGATGCAATTAGTCTTAGAATACCTGGCACCATTCAAAAACAAAACACAGGAAATCTCTTGCAAAGTTGATAGTGCAATTAATTTAGATCTAAACAATAGCAATTTAAGATCAAACACATCTGCAATGAGCTGATGAGCAGGCAGCAATGCAAATGTGACAAATGGAAAAAGGCTGGCTCCTACCTGCCTGGATGATGAGCTTAGCACATTCATTACATGGGAACAAGGCGACATACATGGTGCAGCCTTTCACATCGGCCGAGTTTTTGTTCATAATGGCATTCAGCTCGGCATGGCACACTGTGGATTTAAAAAAAGAGAAGAAAAACTTGAACTGTATCTCATGAAGAATTTACGAACAGTGTGGACGCATTCCGTTATCTTCCCCTGAAATAACATAAAATACCCAATTTTTAAAAATTATTATAAACGACAAGCACTGAGAATATCAGATGAGGGCCAACTGCTCTGACCGGGTTGGCAATTAGCAGCCCAACCATTAACCACAACAGCTCTCGGTCTATAAGCACCTAGACCAGACAGGAGGGGCCAAGGTCAAGCATCTTCACCCACCCTAAACACAGGCATAGCTCACGCTCCACAAGACCCTGGGGTATTGAATTGCCCATATAAAATGGCTCATTTGTGTGTTGATATGCACACACAGGGACATTCAGCAGTGGCTGGTAAGCGGGCATGGTGCAATTTTAAGAGATTCAAGAAGTGAAGCTGAGCATTTCTATCCCGAGGGAGCTGCTTCCCCCACAGTTCTCAGACCACAGACACACAAGAACACTCCAGAGTAGAAGTAGTTTGACTTTCACAAGAAAACCAATCAACTACTTAATGGCAAAGGAAATAACAAGTTCTTGATTTAACAGTCTGTTTGGTCAATGGGGTCCAGTTCAGGTTCTCAGGGGACTTGAACAAATTCAGGGTTAAAAAGAGCATCTTGTTCTCTGCTTCTTTCCTCTGTCAAAACAGACCCATCTTCCAGGGTGTTCCTACCACCAAACGCACTGGAGGTGTGCCTCCTTGCAAGGGAGAAAATATTAGGGTACCAGTTTTGTTCTGAATCACTGATCTACTCTGTAATATTTCTGCATTGCCATCTAATTGTGTAATCTAAAACTGTATTGTAGTTATTATGGTAATGAATCTAAAACTTATCTGCATATTGGAATCTTGTGGGAAGTCCATGTCCAATACTCAAAGACTGAGAGGATCCAGGGTGTGATCTGGGTTTGGGAATGTTTAGGACACTGTGCAGGAGATTCTAATGTACGTGCAAGTTTAGGGATGGGACCACTGCCTTATGGATGCCTTTGGGACTCCTTGGAGAATTCAACACACAATCTGCATATGGGTTTGATTCTGGGCCAATAACACATTTCACATACGGTTTCCCCTCCATCTGTCACTGGAGTCTTTAGTGTTGCTGTGATGCTGAACAGTTTAAAATGGGCTTCCAGAGTTAAATACACTACGAAGGAAGGTCTGGCAATCAACTTACAAAAAGTGTTGTTGTTGTTGTTGTTATGTGCCATCAAGTCGCTTGAGACTCATAGCAACACTATGTACAAACAGCCCTAAACCCTGCTCTATCCTGTACCAATTGCACTGCCTCTGACACACCCATCCTAATTACCCCAGTCACTGAATCAATCCACCTCACAGAGGGTCTTCCCCTCCTGCGCTGTCCCTCCACCCTCCCAAGCATGATTCCCTCTCCAAGGACCCGTCCCTCCTTACAACATGTCCTAAGTATGTCAGACGAAGCCTCAGAATCCTTGCCTCCAAGGAGCAGCCTGGTCTACTCTCCAGGATGTATTTGTTTGTTTTCTTGGCAGTCCATGGTTCCCTCAATACTCTTCTCCAGCACCACAGCTCAAAGGCATCAATTCTCCTTCTATCCTCCTTAGTCATGGTCCAACTCTCTGATGCAAATTAGCCAATGAAAATCTACGACTAACAGTAAGCTAACCCATTCTAGTCCACTGTTAGTGGGATTATCATGAGTCAGGGTTGACGTGATGTTTCTGAATGAAATAGTGACAGGCCATTGTATAAAGCATCCAAAACGTCTTGAATTAAAAATTTAAGTCTCCCCAACCTACCAACCTTCTTCAGGCAATGCCTTCTTCAGGAGTTCTGGGGAGCTTTAACTCATGGCCTTGTCAAACTTCAGTTACTATTTGCTCACTTTGTCAAAGAGCATTTACTGATGATTATCTTGTCTACAAATGTGATCAACACCCTCCCCCATTTTCTGATGGAATTGCAACCATTAATTAGCACTGCAGCAGTTCTGCAGTGTTGCAGGCAGGAGGTGGATCTGGAGCCCTTCTCGAGAAATGTGAGCAAGTGCTAATTTTAACCTATGAATACCAAGGGTTAGGAAGTGTTTACCAGTAAACCAGTTGTCAAAGAATCAGTTCTGACTTAGGGTAACCTCATGTGTGCAGAGCAGAAGTGCTTCACAGGGTGTGCAAGGCTGTGACTTCTCCAAAGTACAACTCCAGGTGTGACTTCCCAAGACAGCTCTGGATGGGTTTGAACCACCAACCTCTCAGTTAATAGGCACTTAGGGATCTGTACAACCCAGGGACTCCTAGTTGTGTGCAAAAATGAACAATTTCTGACAATGCAGGAAAATCTAAAGAAGAAAATGTAGCGTTTGACCAGATCACAGTTATCAGAGAAATATCCATAAACCACAGGGGGACCTGAGCCAGGCTTGTCTAAACCATTCACTTTGAGGGTAGAGAAGACAAGGAAAAGAAAGAGAAGGTTCTAGGGCTCAGAAAGGAGTACGTGGTACAAGGGCTCTGGCCTCCCAGTGGCTCCCTTCACTCCATCACTTTCCCTAGTGGCCAAGATGTTCAGAAACAGGAATTAACACCACTCAGTGTTAAAAACAATTAGATGTAATTGTTTCTTTAATTTCTCCCTTGAGAGCAGAGACCAGTCTTCAAGGTTCTTTGTTAATCCCCTAGAGCCCAATGTGATGCCATGAACATAATGGGTGTTAAATATTTATTGAACGAATAAAAGAGGAAATGCAGATCCCAATTATTAATGGTAATGTTGGAAAATACAGAAAGTCTTCTTAAATCCAAATATCAAAACGACGTTTTCCCAACATAACACTTTTGATGTACTAACATTAAGAGCTACTCTTTAAGAATCTGCTGTGAAACACTGTATTGTCCTTTTTTGAATCTCTTAAAATCATCACAATCTTCTTCTAATTCATCTAAGGCAGAATGGGGCAACATACATCATAATATGTCTTGATTCATTAATGAAAATTACCACATGAAATAGATTCCCTCAAGTAGCATCTGACAATCTTGGGTATGAAGGGTGTTTTACAGAAATAACACAGAGTTATAAACAGACTTCTTTTCTCTAAACTGCAAAATCACAGGATGAAAATGTATAGCAGATGTTGGAAAAAGATGAGCTCTACCAGGCACTGTGAACAACTGAGGGCTGGGGTGGGACTCAGGCACAAGCCTCTTAAATCTCAAACTGACAACCAGACAATGACAGAAACGAAGCACAAGTGCTGGAAAGCTCGCCTGAAGGTCACCCAACCCTGACCGCTGCCGCACATCCCTGTACCCTTCAGCTGTGGACAAGGCAAATACACTTGTCCCAGCCTTCTCCAGAGACCTCAGGTCCTCTCTGGCTAACATCAGAATAAAGGGGAAGGAGTGTACTTAGGCCTGTCGAGTTTTCTCACAGAACAGTATGGGGTCCCGGGGCCTGAGAGAGTCATATCGCTTTTGATGGATCAAGCTTAGAAGGGAAAATGCAAGGCAAGTTGGTAGGGAAGGTGCCGGTCAGAGCCTTTGGGAATTCATGGGACTGAGAGGAAGTGCCAGGGCCAAAAGGCAGAGCCAGATTCTAAGGCAAATCTGCTGGGAAGGAAATGGTGGGAATGGGAGGAAGGGTGGCTCCAGGCTAAGGTGCCAAGCATTTCCCAGGGTTGGGGTTTCTCATCTCAACCCCACAGGTATGGAACTAGGGAATCAAATACTGATTAGCTGATTATGATTCACTGAACCTACATGTGTGGCGGAACAGAGCTGTGCTTAAAAGTGTTCTCGGTGGCTGACTTGCCAGCAGCGGCTAACCACCCCTGAGTTCTGTGGTGTAACTCAAACCATAGCCATTTTCACATTCCTAGTGTGGTGTCTGGCACAGCTGGGAGGATGCCATGCATCCAATTCCACTGTTCGTAAATTGGGCCAACTCAACATCAGATGACGACAACTCTACTCCAAATCCTCTTAGGAGCCGCTGCCTTGGGGTTCTTCCACTTCTCTGTTGGGATTATTTCTTTTCTTCCACTTCTCTGTTGGGAGTATTTCTTTTCTCTTGCCTTTGTCGCCATTTTCCATGGCTTGATCCTGGGTTTCACGTTTTCTTCTAGAGTTTCAACTTTAAAAATCCACCAATCATGTATTCTCATATAGCAGATCTACTTGCAAAACCCCTGAAAGCTATACTTCTAACCCCATTACCAACCATTACCAAATTCTCCTCAGGCATTTGCTTTAGGGATCTGGGCCCTCTGTGTTTTCTTCATTACTATATTCTAGTAATTCTTGTTTTTCTTCAAAACACTGTATGTATTTGACAACATTAAATAAAGAATGAACATATTTTTCTGCAGTGATTTTGACTCACAGCAACCCCATGTGGTAGACTAGATCTCTGCATGGGGTTTACATGGCTGTCATCTTTATTTAAAAGCAGACTGCCACAACTTTGTCCTGAAAAGATGCTAGGCAGGTTCAAACAATCAACCTTTCAGTTAGTTGCTGTTAACGCAGCAAGAGCTACAAATGTACCTGAGTGCAAAAAACCAACCAAGTAGGTCATTAACTATTCTGTTAGCCATTTTTTTTTAAAAAAAATTCTTTTTATTTTATTATTTGTGTGAGTGTACCGTCAAATCAGATCTGACTGGTAAAGGAGGAGATTGTCCCTCCTTCCCCGCCAGAGCATCTGGTGGATTCGAACCATGCGCCTCTGGGATTGTAGTTGCAGCTCCTTACCACTAGGCCACCAGAGCTCCCCTCTGTTAGCCATTTTAAGACTAATATACTCACAGTAGTAATAAGGACCAGACATTCCAAAGATACCACAGTGTCTAGGAAGTAGTCACAAGTAGCCTAACTTTCATAAATGACATTTTTTCCCCCTCAACAACTTACCTAAAATTACTGCAATAGCTAAGCAATAAGCAAAAGAAAGCTCCAAATATTAAAATAAACATGTATTTTGCT